CCAGGACTGAAAATTTCAGAGAGAGCATCTGTGTAAATAACTCTTCTCCTATCAGTCCTGACTGAGCCAGTAACCTTAGAGAGCAACCTTTTCCAAACATTTATTCAAACAAAAAATAGAAACAAAGTTTCAAAGCCTCTAGGTGGCAGTGTTACTTATCCAAAACTTTCCCTCTCTGTATTGTGTCCTCTGCCTTATATCAAACAGTCCAAAAAGTAAAAGACAGAAAAACGGAAAGGAAAAAAGCCCGCTCCATTTAACACTATGCTGAATAGAAAGTCCAGTCAGGCTTCCGACAATAAAAAGGAGGAAAAAAAAGTACAAACTTTCACTTTGACTGTAGCCTTATATTCGCTGCTTGATCTCTCTCATCAATCTTTATTTTAGATTAGTTCTGTTCATTTAGGGTGTTCTCATAAAACAGAAAAAAGGTAAAAATCTCACCATGAACAACAAGCTCTCTCCTGCACTTTCACTTCTGAAGCTGTCAGCAGTTTCACCAGCCTTAATGGCTGCTTCCTAACCGCGGGCAAGAGGGCTATTCCTGGATCACCAGAGACTTTGTAGGTGACTCTGGGATTGGCAGGATATGCCCCTTCCAATCACCATCTCTTCGGGATGGTTTAGGTCCAGTTATACCGTCCTGCGGCTGGAATTTCAGCAGCAGTCTCGAAGGCCCGAGATTAACCATTGTGTCACCACAATGTCAGCTTCCGGTCTCTCCGCTTCTGCTACTCTTAACGCCAAGGGGCAAAGAGGGTGGGCTGAGGGGACACGGAGCCCACCAGCTTCCATTTCACAGCCTCTGGAGGGAGTGGGGCCAAACTACCTTCTTACATGCTTGTAGGTTTTGGAGGTTTATGGGGAAATGGGGCTCTTAGACCTTACAGGCCTTGGGGCCTCATTTCTCCCCTCAAAAGTCTTCCAATCTCCCTAGAAGAGATTCCTGCCCCAACCGCTTTTGGACTGGGATCCTCGGTATCCCTGCTGAATCCTTCCAGGTAACTGAGGAGGCCCACTCCCTTCTTAAACATTGTGGTGGCAATATTGAGAAAGTATTACTAAAATGACGACTATTTAAGGTTCTCCCCCCCCCCTCCATTTAATAACAGCATGCTGAAGATTAGAATAATTTGGACTTCTGGCCTCAAGAAGTTTTGTTCACTACCAAGTGGCACAATTTCTGCCACTCCACTAAATGTCCAGAAAGGGGAAATGGGAAACTGTCTGTGATCCATAAAAGCTCTCCTGGTGTAAACTTTCCAGAAAATTTATATTCAGCATTTTGAATAAACCAAGCAATGGTTTATCTGTATTTTTCTTTACTGTCCAAACAGTCACAGTATTAAAGTTGCTGAGTAAATATGATTCCTGACCTTCTACACCAAATGCACTGAATTATTTTGCTGTCATTGATGATGCTGGGCCAGAACAGAGCTGGCTTCTCCTCTCCCCAGGATTACGCATGGGATGAAGGAAATGGTTTTTGCAGAATTCTCCCCACCTATGCTCCATAACCCAGTACTAAGAAGCCATTCTGCTCCTGGTCTGAAGGGGGGGCACTTGGCCAGCCTGAACAAAAGGCTGTGACCCCATGTGGCCCCTGCTTTCTCTAACCACTTTATCCCTCTTTAGGAGAGAGCGATCCAAGGTGCCTTATATTGTGCGCCAGTGTGTGGAGGAGATTGAACGTCGGGGCATGGAAGAGGTGGGCATTTACCGGGTCTCTGGAGTTGCCACAGATATCCAGGCTTTGAAAGCAGCTTTTGATATTAGTGAGTATTTACTTGGGACGTTTCCTATTCTACTAAGAGGAAATCCATTCAGTGGTTTCTCTAGCGCAACCCATTGCTACGGTCAGTCATGAAAATGTGACCAGAAGGGCCATTTGTCCATCACATGTTGTTCTCAGCTGGTTTCTGGGCGATGTCATAACTTGAGATATTTTCCATATTGGTAGTCCTCTTCCATTGTTACTTCTGCTAGGATGCACAATCCATCCAATGGTTTTGCTGCTCAATTTATTCTTTGTCATCATGTCAAATTACTCCACATTAGGCATTGCCATTAAACCGGACGTGGAAGTCACTGGATGAAACAAATTATAATTCTCCAGTACGCTGCTTAGAGAATCCAAAGGAATGGATTAATATCGGTCTGCTTGCCTAGAGACTGAATTGAATAAACGTGGCCACGCCTCCCCTTTTCACTCGGCTCCCCAGTTTTTTCAATTCAGTCTGCCTGAAGAGAGGTAATCACATTTTCACCTTGTGCTTCAGTCCTTTGGATTTTCCTTACAGATATTATTATTTTTCCTTTATTCTGGTTAGCGTTGTGGTATTGGTTTTTGTGAGCTTTATTTCAGGGGGCATGTTCGTTTTCCCGGTCCGCCGTCATGAACCGCCGCTGGGGTCGCCCCATTCTGGGGGAATGCATGTGCGGCGAGGCTCCTGATTGACTAGGCTAGCTGGAATCCTCCCGATTGACCAGGCTAGCTGGAATGGATTGCCGCTTGGATCTGAGGGCCATGAGCTTCGGTGCGCAGGCTTGAGCCCCTCTTGTTGCGCTTGGAGGCTTGGTTCGCGGTCCTCCTGCCGCTGCCTGTTTTCTCCGGCTAAAATGCATGGAGCTGCCATTTTGAATAGTGCTTTGAATTTTGCAGGTGTGGGTGGCGCGAGGCTGCTGGGACAGAGACTGGATGTCTGGCAATTAAGAGCTGTTAGGCTTGGCGCCAATTGAGCTCCGGAACAGCGCCGGCCATTTTGACCACATTGAGCCTCATTGCGAGCCGGTTTGTGAGACAAGCAGCAGTGTGATTGCGATCTGGCTGTATTTCCTCACCGCAAGCGATCCAAATTGAATTGACCCTTGGCGTTTCTCCGATGACTACGTATCACCCTTGAGTTGCCAGGATCACAGGTTTTGGGAAGTTTCCCCTGTTTTCCCCTTGTTCACTTTGGGTACATATGGAAGGATATGGCTGACCGTTCCTCTATTCCACCATCGGGGGCAACAGTTTCCCCTGGTAGCTTGCCTTTGAGGGATTCCCCTCCCGGCAGGGTGGGAAGGGCCACAACGAGAGTGGCCGGCGGATCAAAGGCCCCTTCCTCATCAGCGGCTGCTGATAAGGATGCCCACAAAAAGCACAGGGCTTCCACTAAGAAGGCCTCCAAAGCCCCTATTCCAGATAGGGTGCCTACTCCTCCCCCGCCTTTGAGGCTGGAGAATTACTTGCCCTGTCCCTTCAAGGATACCCTTCGAGAATGGCCAGGGACTGGTCCCCGGACAACATTCATCTGCAAGACCTCTCTGCTGAGAAGGTGGGCCTAAGCGCCAGTTCCATGTCAAGCACCTCAGGCCAAGCGTCGTACAGGCCCCCCAGGCCAGGCATTCCACACCGGAATCCAGGCGCTCACCACCCAAGGCAACATTTACCCCCAGAGCTGCGGGGCTCCGCGAAAGGGACAATCAAGTCCTGGATCTCCCTAGGGATCTCATATCAGCTGCCATATCCCAAGGGGTCGAATCTGAACAGAAGAAGGTCTAGACAGTCTAGGGCACCTGCTAGGTCAGCTTGGGTTCCGACTCGGGACCCTCCTTCTCCCATCCATTCTACTCACAGTGAGTATTTGCTTCTGGGTGATGAGGAGCAAGGCGACCAGGAGTTGGCCGATGATAAGGATGCCCCCCCCCCAGATGTCCCCACTCCCGGGCGTCTTTTCCGGCCTACCCTGTTGAAATCATTGCTTTTCAAAACGAGGGCCACAGCCAACATGGACAAGAAGGGTACCCCAGTGGAACCTTCGCTTGGCCTGGATTCCACTGAGCGCTTATTTACAGAACCAGTTATAGAGCAAGAGGTTATTCCATCTTCCAAACTTTTCCTGGATGTTATCCAGAGGCTAGTGGTCCCAGCTGGCTTCCGTGCCTCCAAAATGCCCACTGTGGATCTGCCCGTAGCTGCCTTGACCTCTCCCGCCATTGTTCCTTCAGATGCATCTGAAGGATTAAAGGCGGAGGACCGCAAAGCGGAGCAAACCTTCCACAAATTGCACCAGTCGGCTGCCTGGGCAATTCATGCAGCTACTGTTGCGTCCTTTTTCAATAGTACTTCTCTGGTGTGGCTGCGACAGTTGCAATCCCGTCTGGCACCTGAGGACATGCGCCTACCCCAGGATGTCAGTAAAATGGTGGCGGCTTTAGAGTGTTTCGCTGATGCCACCCTAGCGGCAACTAGTTTGCATCCAGGGCATTGGACACCACTGTAACATCCCGCTGCCTCCTTTGGCTCCATCACTGGCAGGCAGATATGCGTTCCAAATGGTGCCTTGCGGCTGTCCCTTTTAAAGGAGGAAAGCTTTTTGGGGAAGCCCTTGATCCCATCCTGATCGAAAACAAGGATAAAAAGAAAGTGCTCCCCTCTGTACAACAGCGGGCGGACTGTAGGTCCCAACCTTGCTCATGCCAGCAGCCCTTTCGGGGGGATTTGGGGTCCACCGGGCTCCAGTATCACAGACCATACTACCAGGGATGAGATTGAGGCAAGGATAGATCAGGATTGAGGGGCAGGGGCAGGCAACAGCAACAGCAACAGTCCCAGTCCAGACAGGGAGGCTGAGGTTCCGGTTACCGACCATACCGTTGGTACCGCTGACTCCCAAGTTGGTATTCCCATTGGTGGGCGCCTCATTCACTTCGTTGACCAATGGGAACAATCAACCTCGGACGCTTGGGTTCTCCAGACTGTGCGGATGGGCCTCACTCTAGAATTTCTTTCCACTCCCCCGCGGAGGTTCGTCAGGTGCTCCATTCCAAGCTATGCAGTCATGAGGGCTCTCATGGACGCCATGATCTAGCACCTTCTGGACATCTGTGCCATTGAACCTGTCCCACTAGGCCAGGAGTGGAGGGGTTTCTACTCCATCCTGTTTCTAGTGCCCAAAAACCCGGGGGAGTGGAGAGCGATCCTGGATCTCAAGAGGCTGAATGTGTACAAGCGTTTCAAAATGCAGTTCCTGCAAACCATCTTGGGCTGCATTCGCCAGGGAGACTACCTAACATCAGTGGATATCAAAGAGACATATCTGCACGGGCCCATTTGTCACTCATACCGGAAGTTTCTACGTTTTTCATACACAGGGTGCCATTTTCAATACCAGGCCTGCTGATCGGGCTCTCGTCAGCCCCAAGGACATTCACAAAACTGCTGGCCACAGTAATGGCCTATCTCAGGTCTCGTCCCATCAGATTCTAAGCCTATCTCGATGACGTCCTGATCCAATTGTCATCTCCAAGCCAGGCCCATCGGGATCTTGGTGCGACGATTCGGTTGCTACAATTCCATGGCTTCATGGTAAATATGGACGAAAGTCAATTGTTACCAGCCACATCTCTAATTCACCTGGGGGCAGTAATAGACACTGTTCAATGTCAGGTGTTCCTGTCTCCAGACCGTTGCACCAGTATCCACTCCTTGGTGACTCAGGTGCTGACCCAGAGGTCGGTGCACCTGTCTGTCCTCTACACATTGCTCGGGAAGCTAATCTCTTGCATAGGGGTTGTTCCCTGGGCCCAACTCCACGTACGACCTCTTCAATGGCTTCTCCCTCAACATCAGAGGAGAGACAGGGGCGTTCCAGACATCACAGTGCGACTGTCTGCCAAAGTGATCTGCTCTCTCTATTGGTGGACCTCCTCCGCCTTGCGGACAGGCTGTCTGTTCAGGGAACCGGATCGGGTCACGATCACGACCGATGCAAGCTTGTACGGTTGGGGCGCTCACACCCACACACAAGTAGCCCAAGGACGCTGGAGCCCCCAGGATTTGGCGAACAACATCAATTGGTTGGAACTTCACGCCATCCATCTGGCCCTCTGGGAGTTCAAAGACCTGTTGGCAGGGTGGCACGTGTTGATCCTCACAGACAATGTGGCCGCCAAAGCACACATCAACCGCCAAGGGGAACACAAGATGTCAGCCTCTGCTTTGCTGCTTGCTTTCGGCTGCCATAGAAACTGGGAGGGGGGGGCATTGTATGTGGGTGGGGAAGTGTCGGCACAGGAGTGACTGTAAAAGGGAGGTATTCTCACCATCTACTGCGCATGCTGCAGATAAAGGATTTGCCGCCATGGCCAACTGTCCGGCATACTAGCTACTATCTACTCATGACAGTAAAAGTACTCTTAATTCTGCAAAATGGAGTTGAGTGGTTTCTTTCTTGGTTACTGAGTGAAGCAGCCTTGACATTAAGTAAGGTCTCAGACACGCACTCATCCCAGAGCTGATAACCTCCGAGGGGAGTGCACCCAATTCCTACACCACCACCACCCGGAACATGTCCAGCAAGGCAGCGACCAGGGAGAGAATGAGGAGAGCCTCATGAAACAATTTGCAGAGGCTTGGAAAAAGAAACATTCCAGTCGTGACCCTGGGAAAAAAACGGACCTCCATGGAACAGAGGAGAGGTCTGTAAACAGATTGCTCTGCCTGAGAGAAGCCGGGGGAAAATCAAAAGATTTATGGTTCTTCCTCAGGCAGCTGTGGAATTACATGCAACAGTTCGGAGACATATTTTTCATTGAAGAAGCCAAGGTAAGAAAAATTGCTACGCCTTTGGGAAGTAAGGCAGCCATTGGGATCGAGGCCCCGCATGATGCTGACTCATCGGAGGATAGTGAAACCGAAACTGATGATGATCATCTAGTAAGCTCCCTATCGGGGCCCATGACTATCCCAGTGAAACGTAAAGTGCCCTCTACTGGAGCACAAGAAAATATGCTGGCTCTTTTAGATTTGGGTTGCACATTGCATTGTTAGCCCCGAAGTAGTAGAAAAATTGGGCCTAAGACTAAACACTTTGAAGGTCCCAATTTTTTTTTTGCCAATTGGACGGCTCGATAGCTGGAGGGAGCCCAGCCCATTTTGTGACTGAGCCAATAGATATGTGGATGGGAACTCACCAAGAGTCAATAAGTTTTATTGTGGCCCCAGGAATGGATCGACCTCTTATATTAGGCTTACCCTGGTTGCGTAAATGGAATCCATACATCAATTGGAGGAAAGGGTAGATACGCATCCGATCTGCTACACCCCCAGAAGGAGAGGGGGAGGCTCCCAAGCAGAGTAAAAGAGAGCGGGAGGCTCCCAAGCGGAGTAACACTGACCCTAACCTAGCAGCCAGGGGGCAAGAAAAAATTGAGGGGGAGGAGAAAATCCCAAAAGAATATTGGGACTTGAAAGATGTTTTTAGTGAGAAGTCATCTGATAAATTACCCTCACATCGTGCCACTGATTGCAGCATTGATATTCTTCCCGGAGTAAAACTTCCAAAACCTCAAATTTATTCAATGACACACACATACCCGTGAAATGGATGAATTAAGGAAGTTTATTGACAAAAATTTGCAGAGGGGATTCATTGAGGCTGCTAGACCCCGAGTTGCTGCTCCAGTTTTGTTCAGAGAAAAGAAAGATGGCTCCTTTTGCTTATGTGTTAATTACAAGAACCTTAACGCAATCTGTGTACAGAACCTCTACCCATTACCGTTGATGAAGGACATGCTGGCCCAGTTGGGTAAGGGGAAAATTTTTTACGAAATTAGACCTCCGAGAGGCCTATTACAGGGTCAGAATTAAGGAGGGTGACGAGTGGAAGACTGCGTTCAACTGTCCTCTTGGCTGTTTTCAATTCCGGGTAATGCCATTTGGCCTATAGGGGGTGCCAG